CGCCCTGTACCCAACAGAATTTTTATGCCAAATAGAATTAGATCTTGTTTGACTAAACTAGTTTTGTTTATAATCTTTAAAAATCTTGAAAAACATAAATTTTACTTCTTAATATTAGATTTTGTTTTTATTTTTAAGAGTACTTTTTAAAACTTAAATAGTCAAAAACTAATTTATTATGGCTGGCCATTGTGGACAACAATTTTGCATCCTTATATGCTACAGCTAAAATTTTAGATTCCAACAGATGTATGTGTTTTATTTTTATTTTTACATTCATGGGTAAATCATGTGAGAAATATATATAAAATAATCGAATAAAAATAAAGTTGATATTTTTAGAACACAAAAAATACTTCTTATTGTGGATTAAAAAGCAAAAAGATTAAATTCGCGTAATTTGGAGAATACAAATAAATTTATCTAATACCCAGCTTATTGTGAAAAATGTATCCAATTTAGATTTCTTTAACTTGTTCCAAATTAATACTCTATACCAAAAATTTATTAATTTCAGCAAAATTTTTCATTCAAAGTACAAAAATAAAATTTTAAGTTCCCTGTAGACAAAAAATAAACCCATTGAAATTTACACATCTTTTGATTTGAAGCACCAATTTGACAAGAAAAGCTTGCTGTTCCAGAACAAAACCGACCATCTCATCTCAATTTCTCAACCAACTCAAAATATATTCAAGATAAAATTCAATTCAACCAGCAACTTATTCCAGTTTGACCATGAGTACAAATAAAATCCAACACAAATCTCTGTTGAAAACGTCCAAGGCTTAGTAAAGGGCACACACATTACTGTTGGTATTAGACATGCTAATATTCTCACGTAAGGCAGCCAACCTTATTTTGGATCGGCAAAGAAGCTGTTGATGGATGGCATAATTTCAGGGGCCCTGTTGCGGACAAACTTCCTCAGAAAATGCTCGGCATATTTTTCTCCTTCAGAAAAGTTCTCCAAGACACCAGCAGCCCTGTTCTCCTTGGTCACTCTGATTCAACAAGAGCAAACTCTTAACTCTTGAGTCCAAACGGAGCAAGTAAACAAAAACAAGTCTATGGTTTACCAAAAATAAACTAAAATTAATAAAATGCTCAAAACACATAAAGAGCTAATTAAAGAACAGAAACAGCCTAAAACCGAGTCCCAAATAAATCAAGCTGTATATAGATTAACAAATTTAACGCAAGTTAAGCAAAAGATATATAGGTCCAAGGCAAGTCAGTAGTGGGAAGTTAGACTACAATATTATTTTTGGAGTAAAGGAAAGAAATGAAATAAATGAAAGAGAAGAATTCATTTTTTAAAGGAAAAGAAGGGAAAGGTGAATCTTTTGTTTGGATGACTAAAATTAAGAAATTGAAGAAAAGGAAAGAATTATTGAATAATTTGTTTGCTTTAAGTTTGTAAAGGAAAGTCTTGGAAATTATATATATAATTTGATGTATAAAAGGTACAATAGTAAAATATACCTATGTAATTAATTTTGGGATTTCCTTTTATACACTCAAAGTTGTGTGTGTATAGGAAGCAACTATTTAATAGTAAAACACCATATTCATTTTTTCATATGGTATTAGAGCTCTACGAAAACATAGCCGAACCTTTTTCTACAAACCTTAATCGGCTTTAATCGTAGAAATAAGAGAGAATACAAAAACTGTAATGCAGTGGACCAACATCACAGCAGAAGCCAGCCTTCATAACTGGCAAAACAGCCAGGTGCAGCCAAGCACAGCCACCGTTGAAGACACTTCTGCTCTGCTAGCCAGCCTTCATAACCAAAAAACACTCTGTCCCCATCTGTTTTTGATGACTGGACAAGCTATGGTAAAAAACAGAATATATTTTTTCATATGGTATTAGAGCTCTAAGAAAACATAACCGAACCTTTTTTCTACAAACCTTAATCGGCTTTAATCGTAGAAATAAGAAAGAATACAAAAACCGTAATGCAGTGGACCAACATCACAGCAGCAGCCAGCCTTCATAACTGGAAAACTAGCCAGGTGCAGCCAAGCACAGCCACCGTTGAAGACACTTCTGCTCTGCTAGCCAGCCTTCATAACCAAAAAACAACCAGTCCCCATCTGTATTTGATGACTGGACACGCTACGGTAAAAAACAGAATATATTTTTTCATATGGTATTAGAGCTCCTCGAAAACATAGCCGAACCTTTTTTCTACAAACCTTAATCGGCTTTAATCGTATAAATAAGAAAGAATACAAAAACTGTAATGCAGTGGACCAACATCACAGCAGCAGCCAGCCTTCATAACTGGCAAACTAGCCAGGTGCAGCCAAGCACAGCCACCGTTGAAGACACTTCTGCTCTGCTAGCCAGCCTTCATAACCAAAAAACACCCAGTCCCCATCTGTTTTTGATGACTGGACATGCTACGGTAAAAAAACAGAATATATTTTTTCATATGGTATTAGAGCTCTACGAAAACATAGCCGAACCTTTTTTCTACAAACCTTAATCGGCTTTAATCGTAGAAATAAGAAAGAATACAAAAACTGTAATGCAGTGGACCAACATCACAGCAGCAGCCAGCCTTCATAACTGGCAAACTAGCCAGGTGCAGCCAAGCACAGCCACCGTTGAAGACACTTCTGCTCTGCTAGCCAGCCTACATAACCAAAAAACACCCAGTCCCCATCTGTTTTTGATGACTGGACATGCTATGGTAAAAAAACAGAATATATTTTTTCATATGGTATTAGAGCTCTACGAAAACATAGCCGAACCTTTTTTCTACAAACCTTAATCGGCTTTAATCGTAGAAATAAGAAAGAATACAAAAACTGTAATGCAGTGGACCAACATCACAGCAGCAGCCAGCCTTCATAACTGGAAAACTAGCCAGGTGCAGCCAAGCACAGCCACCGTTGAAGACACTTCTGCTCTGCTAGCCAGCCTTCATAACCAAAAAACACCCAGTCCCATCTGTATTTGATGACTGGACACGCTACGGTAAAAAACAGTATATTTTTTCATATGGTATTAGAGCTCCTCGAAAACATAGCCGAACCTTTTTTCTACAAACCTTAATCGGCTTTAATCGTATAAATAAGAAAGAATACAAAAACCGTAATGCAGTGGACCAACATCACAGCAGCAGCCAGCCTTCATAACTGGCAAACTAGCCAGGTGCAGCCAAGCACAGCCACCGTTGAAGACACTTCTGCTCTGCTAGCCAGCCTTCATAACCAAAAAACACCCAGTCCCCATCTGTTTTTGATGACTGGACATGCTACGGTAAAAAACAGTATATTTTTTCATATGATATTAGAGCTCTACGAAAACATAGGCTAACCTTTTTTCTACAAACCTTAATCGGCTTTAATCGTAGAAATAAGAAAGAATACAAAAACCGTAATGCAGTGGACCAACATCACAGCAGCAGCCAGCCTTCATAACTGGCAAACTAGCCAGGTGCAGCCAAGCACAGCCACCGTTGAAGACACTTCTGCTCTGCTAGCCAGCGTTCATAACCAAAAAACACCCAGTCCCCATCTGTTTTTGATGACTGGACATGCTAAGGTAAAAAAACAGAATATATTTCTTGAATACACCTGGGTTACCCCTCTCATTTTTAATAATACCACCACCAACAAGATTTTGCACGATAGTAAAGACTTAGACATCATTCCTTTTCTATTCTTAAGGTGATTTTTCACTCTTTATTTAAGGAAACTTATAGGGAAAATTTGCATCTTGATGTATGTGAACTTGCTAAAAATAGGCATGTGATATTTCCTATGAGTGATAAAAGGAACATTATTCCTTTTTTGTCAGTTCATAGTGACATTTGGAGGTTTATCTCACATTCTTACTATTTCTGAAGCCCAATGGTTTCTTCCTTTTGTTGATGATTGTACAAGAGTCACTTTGCTTCTTCTATTTAAGTCTAAATCTAATTTGAGTAATGTACTTCTACAAATTCACAATATGATTAAAACCCAATTTGGTGCTCATATTAAACGATTTTATATTTGATAATGTTAATGATTTTTCATCAGACGCTATATATATATATATATATATATATATATACCAAGAAAGGATTGTCATAGTCCTCTTATGTCCACACTCCACAACCAAATGAAGTAGCATAATAAAAAACAGTCACTTACTTGCTACTACTTGAGCCTTTTTATTTCAAAACCATGTACCTAAACAATATTAGAAGGGAAAGACGTTCTCACTGTCACTTACCTGATAAACCGATTACCATCCAGATTATTGGATTTTAAAAGTTCCATGGAAGTTCTTTCCACATTCTACCCAGATGCTAGTATCATAAATCATCTTGTCTCTGAAATATTCAAGTGTGTCGCTTTTGTTCACATACATCAACATCAATGAGAGAAACTTGATTAAGAGCTCTCAAGTGTATTTCTATGGGATACTGTTCAATTCAAAAGGGTTACAAATGTTACAATCCATCCACTAAAAAATCCTATGCATATGGAAATACTACATTTGTTGAGATTGAGTCATAATTTAGCAAATCTTATATTCAGGACGAGACTGTAGTAGAAGATGAGAACCTGTTCTTTTTTTATCTCACCTTACTCTCTACATCATCAGCGCCTCTACCTTCAACACGACCAGCAAATAGCCCTCATCAATTACCTCACAACCCAAAAATTGATCCACCTGCATCTCTACCTTTAATATTCCAGCAAATGACCCTCCTCAATTACCTCACAACCCAGAAAATGATTCACCTCTATTACTTCAAAACCCAGAGAATCAACCCAGAAAATGTTCCACATTACTCTCTACATCATCAGCACCTTTACGTTCAACACTACCAGCAAATAATCCTCATCAATTACCTCACAACCCAAAAAATAATCCACCTGCATCTCTACCCTTTAATATTCCAACAAATGATCCTCCTCAAGTACCTCAAAACCTAGAAAATGATTCACCTCTATTACTTCGAAACCTAGAGAATGAACCAACACCAGTGACCGTACATGATCCAAGATTCTCTTACGTGTACTCAGAAAGGAAGAATCTTGATCTTGAACTAAAGCATGTTCAAACATTAGAGTCAAGTTCTAACAATGAGAACTTTTGAGAATCTTTTGCATCCTAACATTGATATACCTATTGCAATTCTAAACGGAACCAGAAGATGTACTAAATATTCACTCTATCCAATTTCAAATTTTATGTCGTTTGACAAATGTTCAACATCTACAAGAAGTTCCTTATGAGTTAAAATTAATTTTAATACATTTTTTGAGTCATTATTTTGTGAAAATAGAAAAATATCAGCACTGGACAAAAACTAGACTTGAGAGGTGGTTGACCTATCTAAGAGAAAAAGACACATAGGATGTAAATGAGTTTTCGCTATAAAGTACAAAACTGATGGTATAATATATATACAAAGCAACACTGAGAGGCAAGGGATATACCCAAACCTATGGAATAAACTATCAAGAGACTTTTTCACCTGTTGTCAAGATGGACACAACTCGAGTTCTATTATCTTTTAGCTGCCAACTTTGGTTGACAATTCAATAGTTTGATGTGAAGAATATTTCCTACATGGAGACCTCCAGGAGAAAATTTACATGAAAATTCCATTAGAATTCATAAAAAAATACAAGAGCAAATAAAGTTTGTAGATTAAAAAGGACTCTTTATGAACTCAAACAGTCATCAAAGGTATGGTTTTTGAAGATTTGCAAAAATGGTGTTGGCAACAAGATGTAAATAAATTTAGAAAAACCATACTTTGCTCATCAAGCATTCAAATTCAGAGAGAGTTAAAGTTCTACTTGTATATGTTGATGACATTATTGTGACAGGTAATGATGAAAAAAAGATATTGGTACTCAAACAACTTAACCAAAGAATTCAAAATTAAAGAACTGGGGGACTAACAAATTTTCTTGGATTAAAGGTGACCAATTTAAAAGCTAAAATTTTCATCTAAAAAAGAAAGTACATTAGTAATCTTCTAAAGAATAAAGGCAAGTTGGCATGCAAACCTAATAGCACAAGATTGATTACAACCATAGACTGGGACTAACATAAGAATGTGCAGTAGTCAACAAGGAAATATACTAGAGGCTAGTTGGAATACTAATCTATCTGTCACACACAAGACCCCAAACATTACTTATGCAGTAAGTATAATATGTCAATTTATGCACAAATCCAAAGAAGTGCATTTATATGTAGCATACCGAGTGTGAGAAAGGAACACCAAAAAAGGATATTGTGCTTTGAAAGAATAACATCTTACTCCTAGAAGCCTATACTGATGTTGATTATACTAGATCAATAGTGGATAAAAATTATGTAGAGGTTATTGTACTTCTCTTGAAGAAAATTTGGTCATGTGGAGAAGAAAGAAACAAATAGGGTGACAAAATCCAATGCAAAATCAAAATTCCAAACAATAGGGCAAGGAATCTGTGAGTTAGTATGATTGAAAATGATTTTGGAAAACCTAAGAATCAAATGGAATAACTGATAAGACTCTATCGTAACAAATCAGCAATCGGCATCACGCATAATACGGCATGACATGACAAGATGACGCATATTGAAGTTGACTTACATTTAATCAAAAAGAAATTAGATAGTAATTTGATCTACAAATTTTATATGCCTAGCGACTCCAACTCACAGATGTGCTTACTTAGGGCTTGAATAATCCAACTGTTCAGAAAATTATCATCAAGTTGGGAATGAACAATGTTTGTTCACCAACTTAGAGAGTGTTAAAAAGTATAATATAATTTATGTATAGAAGTATAATAGTAAAAATACTCGTACGTAATTGATTTTAGGGTTTGCTTCTCTATACTCAAAGTTGTGTATATATAGGATCCAATTAATCAATAATAAATACAATATTCATTCTTCCACATAAAGAATTAATCATAAGAAAGTTGCAAATGATATGTTTTATTAACAGAATGATAAGGTAGACAATTAAGGGTAAAACAAAAGATAAACTATTAACATGCCGTTTGGTTCATTGAATCATGCTATAATAAGGTAGGAACAAAATTACAATTACATGAGTATTATGTTACTTGGTTAACTGAATCATAATTCCATAAAATTAAAATTACAAAATCTTTTGTTATCAAGGATTCACACTCGGGGGATAGTGAATCATCATTGCAGCATGAATTCCATTTATTCATTTCAATCAATTATACAATAAATTTCTATTAGAAAATATCTAATATACATTCAAATTTACAAATTTAATTTCCAAAGAATAATATTAATTTTTTCTAATTTTACTGGTTTTTTTCGAAGTATTTTAATAAATTTAAGAATTTAAATCTCTTAGGAAATTTTTAAGTATAATGCTTTCTATGAAATTTTTTGCAGAATTTATTGATGTAGTTACTTAATTATAAATAATTTTGAATATAGGCCGCATCCCCTTGATGCCTATATTTAATTCTAGTAGTCTTTTTTTCAAATAATACTTAATGATAATACTACACTTGTTATATCAAGAAAATTTCTTTTAGGAAAATTTTTATTAATAATATGACTTAAGGGCTAAAAATCTATATGAATAATTTTATTCCATTTTTATTGAATAGCTGTTTTTTTAAAATATAAACAGTGATGTATATTACTATAGGCACTAAGGGGTGCCAGCCATGTACAAAAGAATTTACATGTCTATCAAATTATCCAATACTGAATAACTATTTTATTACAACTTCATTCTACAGGTGAACCAAATAACTCCTAATTTAATTACATGTTTGACTGATTGAAAGGAAACATATTGAACAACTAAATAGGCAGATTTAACAAATCCGTGAGCAATACATATGGTAGATGTATAATCCAGTGAGATACATATAGAAAGCAACATATACGTATATACTATGCGGATAGAGATAAGTACCTGACTTCAGGATTGATGCAGATATTGCGTACCAACTGGAACCCGCAGATCCCCACGGCAACCCCTACGGCAGCGAAAAGGGGATATACCTACATGATTCCAAAATCAGATGAGATCTAAACCCACTTTTTCTCTTAATAATCAAAGAAGAAGAGAAAAGAAAAAGAAGTCAAACAAAATCAAGGGAGGGAAGGGTCGGAAGATAGAATCAGCCGATGTTTAAGAAACATACATACCTCAGGTCTCAGCCATCGATTTGCCATTGCACGCAGTAGAGGGATCTGATCGAAGGCGAGGGAGACGGAGCTTCGGCTTTCGAGGTGAAAAATGCACAGAGCCAAGAAGAGAAGATGGAAGGCGGAAATTACCCCATTACTTTGTTATTATAAAGAGCTTAGGTCACTACCCAAATGTGAATTTCCTTTTTTCCCCTTCTTCTGTTTTTCATTGTTTTGTTATATTGGAATGGTGCCAGCTGATTGGTGGATGTAGAATTAAGGCCTTCCTCTTTAGCCAATGGCTGTGTGACACGTACAAATTTAGGAAAATATGGAACCCCCCAACGTATCGTGACGTAGCTCTCTTTTCCAAAAAAAGTGCCACACGCGCGCCGCTTCAAACACGTGTAAAACATAAACTAACTTCTTGAGTAGCGAGGATACCATTACTTTTTTTAAAAAATATATATATATATATATATATATATATATCATTTATATCGCTAATAGACGGTGTTTTTTTTTTTAATTTGTTTAAATTATATTTGTTTAATTTGTAGTTCAATAAGTTACTTTAAAGTTTTTAACAAAATCTCTCTTCATTATCAATCGTTATAATTGTTAATTTAAATTTTATATTTCAAATTATTAATATACTATATTATATAATTTATTTTAATATAAATTTGAATATAACATAATATTTTATGTGAGATAAATAATTTAAATATAAAATAATTTAAATTATTTTATAAATATAAAAAATATTATAAATGAAAAAACTATTCTAAATACAAAAATTTAGATGCCATAGTCTCAATTTCTTTGTCCTCCTTATCCATCATCCTTTTCTCAACCCTCATTCTATATTAAGAAAAATAGATGTCATTTACTAGCAACTATTCACCATACAATTTAAAAAAATATACATTCACACGTTTCTTAAAGAAAAAAGAGAAAACCCCATAATCCTTATAAAATCCTACTTTATCTCTTTATTTGATCTTTTAAATATTGACAAATCTAGAATTAAAAATTAAAGGATTCTTGAAGTGATCCTAGACGGCTCAAATTTAGTTCTAATGATACAGTCTCGCATCAAAGAGGAATCTCTCAGGTCCCATCCCAAACGGGAAAGCGATGATAACATCCTTTTGTTTTCTAAACGGGATCACCCTAAACATAAAAGTAATTTCATCATTGACTACTTTCCTAATTAGAATTATTCTAAGGAATAAGCCAAGTTTGTCCAAAGCAAATTTAAGGCCCAAGTAATCTTAATGGATTTGAAGAATAAGTCATGGCCAAAGAAGAGTCAAGACTCATGACCAAGGAGGCCCACAATCCAATTAGGAATTGACCTTGGAAGGCCTTTGATCGCACGCATAACCTCGTGCACCTGTGCGGACCAAGTAGATCACACGCTTAGTGTGCGCAAGGGGAAGACAGCCCACAAACGTGCACCCCTACACGTGTGTGCTAGCCATCCGACCCACGCCTCATATGGGCATACGTGTGTAGCCCAAAGCCCACGCCCAACAGCAGCCGTGCATGACCCACGACTTAGGAGAGGAAAACTTGTGGTCGGTAGGCCCCACCTGGCCGCCCCACATGACTGGGACAGAAACTGGCCTAGTTGGCCCAAAAGCGCATGCCCGGTGGCCACCTGCGGGCCTGCTTCGCGCGACTTATGTGGACTGGCCAACTCGACCCATCCAGTTTTGCCAAACCCGGTAGGCCCTCCCTATTTTTAATTAATTAATATTTTTTATTTTATTATCTTAAGGCTTTTAGGACTTAAATTTTTAATTTTCCATATTTTTAAATTAATTTCCACATGTCTAAATTAATTTTCTATATATTTTACATGAAAATCACATAAGATAAATTTTATCTAATTTAAATTATTATTTTAATGTAAATTATGTCCCTAAAATTATTTTATTAATTATGTTGTATTTAGATGGGATAAAATATAATATCTACCTCAGAAAAAAAAAGAAAAAAAAATTAAATAAAATTTGGAGTTTGGATGTAAATGAAAGAAATTTTCAAAAATTGATGTTTTTAATTAATTTTAGGGACCTAAATGAAAGTGGGTAAGAAAAAAGGGAAAAAAATATAAATAAGGAGAAGTGGAAGGGGGCAAAAGATACAAAAAAATAGACAACCCAGATCGGACTGTTAGAGGAGATTTAAAAGAAAACGGACGGCCTAGATTGAACCTTACAAGATCCAACGGCCAAGGTGGGTATTTAAGGAAACAATTAGGGTTTCCTTCTTCATTTTGAAGAGTAGCTGAAAAAGAGAGAGGAAAAATAGAGAGGAGTCAATCATGGAGAGATGAGGAAAAAGACTATCGCATAGGGAAAGCCGAGAAGGAGAGAAGAGAGAGGCTGGAAAGGAAAAAGAAAAGAGAGAAAAGGAAAAAAAAGGGTGGTTGAGCGGGAAGAAGAGAAGCCAAGAACGGCCGCCACAAGGGAAAGAAGATAAGAGAGAGAGTGGCGAAAGCGGTGAGTGATGGAGTTGAAGCCGAAAGGAAAAAGAAGGGAAGGAAAACGACTGGGACGTCGTACGAAGGCAGACACCGACGCGAGCAAAGGTAAGTTTCGTCCTTTTATTCGTATTCTCTTCCTATTCCGTTAGATTCTTTTATTTTCTTTACCAATCGGTTTGTAGGTTTGAAAAATCACATCCGAGTCTCAACCAAGCTAAGGAGCCATGGGGTGGCTGAAAGGAGACCAACAAGAGCCAAGTCGAGGTTGAATCGCTCGCACCGAAGGTAAAATCGTTTTATTTTTCATATTTTGGTGGTGGTTGAGCAGCAGTGGGGCGGGGCTGGTGTCGGGCTGGCCGTGCAGGCTCAGTCAGGCCACCCATCCGCGCGAGAACCGAGGAGATTTCTTTGAGAATAGGGAAAGTTGACCCATTCGAGAAGCCCTCGAGCATGGGAACCTGATTTATCATTTTAGGTTCCGATTCGTCATTCGAGAAGCTAAAAAGTCTTCTTCAAAAAATGAGAATCTGATTTGACGTCCGTGAAGCTGAAAAGTCTTTTTCGAGAAGAGAATCTGATTCGTCGAAAAGTTTTTTGGATATGGATTTCGATTATTTCGGGTATTCCGATGGGTGATCGTTGGAACCCATAATCCAATTAAATTAATTTTTAGTATTTTAAAATATTTTAATTAATTTATATTGTGTGTACAGAAAATTTGGACATTCAAGCGAATCCAGAAAGACACGTAGGAGAGTAAGTATTTTAAATCTCAACTGGGTTAAATTTCGGAATATGCATTCATTTTATAAAAATTATGAATTTTGAAATTAAACGGACATTAGCTCAATTTTGATGAAAAACCCGAACCCAAATTATGATCAGTAAACCTAAGTAATTGGAACCCTATGAGGAGACGAAATTAGAAAACAGATCCAATGGACTGAGAGTTATTTGGACTGATAAAATATGAAATTGAAAAAAAAAAATTTCGAATTAAGGATAAATTAAAAAAAATAAAATAAAATAAAAATATAAAAATAGAAAGGAAAAAAAATAATTGAGATTAAGAAATGATCATTTAAACAAATTAAGAATTTTGGAATGAGGTGGTAGGAATGAATAGGGTAGGGACCCCAAATACTTTATTGTTTAGTCTGAATCGAGGAGGAGAGAGTGTGTGTGTGGTTGAAGTTCAGCAGGCATGGTGAACCTACACATGGATAAAGTTTGAAACCTAATCCAGACGTGGATAGGTATTCGTGTGAGTGTGGGTCACCTAGCAAACATACCTATTGTGGCCATTGTGTGATTTGTGTGTGTGCTATCCATGTGATGGGGAGATCCATTTCGCCTTTCCTCGATGATGACATAAATGACATCACGCGATGAAACTATAGAAGTGACCTTTCGCGTGTATCTGTGATCGTTTGTGTATATGTGATTATGTTTTGAGATGATAAATGATATTCAAGTGTATTTATAAATTTCAAGAGTATGGGAATATATGTTTAAAGTTTGTATGTGATATTCGAGAGAATTCATCAGATCGATCAGGAACATGTGAAAAAGTGAAAATAAGAACACGAAGTTTGCACTGAAATATTTTTATTGCTTTTGTTTCTTACTGTGTGTTTTTCATGAAATTTTATTTGGGTTGAGAGAACGGGAATACTTATTGAGTTGATGAAGCTCATTAAATTTCACCCTGATATTTTTCAGAGGAGAATGAAGAGTCAGCTGTCAGATGAGTAAGACCAATAAAGGGTTCTTATTTTTGTGTGTTTTGTACATATTCGAAAAATTTTATTTTATTATGTCAGATTTTAAATTTTGACATCATGTTTTGTATATATAGTTACTGTACATATCACATGAGATGCTAGGTTGTATTATAATTTTTAATCTACGCATGTATATATTTTATGAGTCCACTACATGAAAATAGCATGAACAGGAATTGCGCTTCATATCGAGTATTGGAGCGTGACATAAAATAAATATTTTATTATGTAATTATTCTAGAGTTAGATAGAATTTTATCTAAAATATTATTTTATTAATTTTTTCAAGAGATTGTAATCATTTAGAAATACACCGAGGAAGGCTATAAATAGGCTGTTACTCGTAAGTTGTTAGCACACCAATTACTATCAATTTGAGAGAAATTCTTGAAATATTAGACTCTTCTTCTATGAACATTTTTTCTAATTTAGCTTCTTCAAGTTCTTCGAGGAGTAGGAGTATTCAAAAGTCTTGTTGAGCTAAGGAGCAGAGATTAACTTATCGGTAAGTTTGTAACGTTTTTTTTTTCTTTATTTATTTTTTCGAGTCTTTATTTTTGCATTCTTTTAGGATTATAGATTCAATTAGAGGGAGGAATTTTCTAGGCGGTTAAATTTTGGTATTGCATAATGCTGAATGAGTTATAAGAGTTGATTCGATCTTCCCCATACCCTCCCGCTTCATCTAGTATCAGAACTTAGGCTTCCAAAATCCAAATATATCTTTATTATTTTTTGTATTTTAATTAACAATTCAAATTTATTTTTGATTTATTAATTTGAATTGCATCCTGCTTGAATATATATATATCCGTTCAATTCAAGTGGTTCGTGTTTTTCATCTAAAAAAGTTATGTGTATCAAAAATACAAAAAAAGATATTCTAATTGCAC